GCAAGAGTAAGCCTCCCTCACGTTCCTGTCCCAATGCCAGACAGTCTAGTTTCTCTCCGTATGTGTCTGGATCCCCCAAAGTCTCCCCCGTAACTGGAATTCAGGCCAAGCGGGAGCTTGTATCTCCCTCCCAGTTTAAAGAACAGCACATCCAGGTGCCAGCACTTTCCGTGCCTCTGCACCTCTTACCAGTCTCAATGTGCTTTCTTCACCTCTCTGGTTATAGAATTTCCACTCAGCCAGCTTTCCCGTGTTTCTGGGTGGTAGTTGTTCTGTCTTTTAGTAGTAAATTTGATGTGGTTGCGAGAGGCAGCAAGTACCCGTGTTTACCTATGCCGCCATCTTGGTTCTCAATGATTCTCATTATTGCTGTTTCTCTCTCCCTCTCCCTTCCTCTGTGAAATCAATAGGAATATAGACCAAAAAAGAGAAAGTGCTACACATGCCCGCCTCCCCACTGACCCTTTCTGTCTCGCCCCGTCCCCCCACCAGGCCCTCACCACCTTGTCTGTGTCCAGGTGCTGCATCTATGCCCACCCCCCTCCCTCTGAGATTCCAGTCTGTTCCGTGCTTCTGTGTCTCTGGACCTATTATGTTCATCAGTTTATGTTGTTCATTAGATTCCACATATGAGTGAGATCATGTGACACTTGTCTTTCTCTGACTGGCTTATTTCACTCAGCATCATGCTCTCCAGGTCCCTCCATGCTGTTGCAAATGGTGAGTTCTTTTTTGCTGCTGCGTCGTATTCCCTGGTGTAGATGGACCACAGCTTCTTTATCCACTCATCTGCTGACGGGCACTTGGGCTGTTTCCAGATCTTAGCTATGGTAAATTGTGCTGCTATGAGCATAGGGCTGCATACATTCTTTCTGATGGATGTTTCTGATTTCTTTCCATTGATTTTTAGAAAGATTGGAGGGGAGGGAGGGAGTAAAAGAGAAAGAGAGAGAGAATAAAACATCGATGTGAGAGAGACACATCTATTGGTTGCTTTCCTGCGTTCCTGGCCAGATGGAACCTACAACCCAAGAAAGTGCCGATGCTCTCACCACTGAGAACACCAGCTAGGGTGAGGCTCAAACTGTTTTTTAAAAACAACATTTTACCTACTTATGAAAGTAACACCAGATCATTGTCAAAGCTGGGGAACCTATACAGAATAAATAAAATCACTCACAATCCTGCCACCCTCGTGAAGTGCTGTTACCATGGTGACGCATTGTAGGCAGGTGTGGTGATGGAGTCCTGACACCCCCCTCCCCCAACTCTCTGGCCGGGGGCCGCTGCGCTAGGGCCATGAGGGCCAGCGACTGCCATGATGGGGTGGACAGGGCGCCTGCATGGGGCAGCCAGGTGCCCCTTCTAGGCCCCACACAAATAAGTTATGTCCCAAACTCGTAGGAGCAGGTGGAGACCTCCTCGGTGGGGCTCACCCTCGCGACAGATTTCAGTAATAGGACACGGTCCTCAGCCATTTGCTTCCCAAAGACGGGCTCCCACATGCATTTACCTCATGGCTTTTATTTATGACTGAAACCAGGCAGTTGTTCCAAAGAGAACCACCCCTACCTTCCAGGCTCTCCCTGACCTCGGCCCAGCTCCGCCCCCTCCACACACAGTGGGTGTCTCAGCTGTCACCCTGGGATGCTGTTGGGGCAGGTGGCCAATTGGGAGGTGGACTGTCGACCGGATTCGAGTGTCATCTCAGCGTGGGGCTACTATGTGGGGTAACTGCCCCAAGATTGTCCGTGTTCCTACGAAACGCACAGCTGGAAAGGCTGGGAACGCGTAGGCACATGGATGTGCGAGTGTGTGTGTGTGTGTGTGTGTGTGTGTCTAAGGAGAGAGTGCTGTCCCTGAGAACTCCGTGCTGATCTTGCAGCTTTTCTCTGTGTGAAAAATGCTCAGAATGCTAAGTTTAAAAAACACGATGGAAGGAAAAAGTGCCCTGTAAGCCCAGCACCCTGCACCTCTGGCCCCCACAGGTGTTGGGGGGTCTGCATTGCCGTCTGTCTGGTGGGGGTGCTGGCTGCGCCCAGTGTCTGAGGACACCTTGGCTGCCACCAGAGCGTGGGTGTGGAGGTGAGGGGCCCTCGCAGTGCCAGGGACAGATGGCAGCAGGGGAGGCACAGGAGCCATAGCATTTCCGGAGGTTGAGTGGCCGTCCTGGGAGGAGATGGAGCCAGCTGGATGCCCCAGGTGTCCCCTCCTTCCTGTCTGCAGGCGTGGCTCTTCCGCTAGCGAAAGGCACATGTGTGTTGGCAAGTATGTACGTGTGTCCTGGTCCTCCCAGCCTGTTAGCAGCACACATGTGCACAGTGGCGTGTGTGTGCCCAGTGGCATGTGTGCTTGTGTGAGTGTGTGCACATATGTGTGCAAAGCACAGTCTGGCCTTTTCTCTGCCGGTGGCTTTTCTCGCTCAGCCTTGCGTTGGGGTGAGGCTCCGGCGTTGGGCTGTGCTGTTGTGAGAGGCAGCCACGCTTTTCTCTGCTTTCTGGTCAGTGCAGATGTGTTTTTTCCCGTTTTTGCTTTTACAATCTCCGCCAGCTTTTAAAATCCTCCTGACACCTGTTTGTGTGAAGTATTTCATTTCTGGCTGGTAAGTGGCTGGGTCTTGGGGTGGCCTCTGGAATGGGGGTCCTGCATCGGGGTGTGGGTGCAGGGCAGGACCGTGACCTTGAGGCCTCCTCCTGCCCACGTGGCGTAGACACACCACTGGGCGCAGCCCCTGGCTGAGGGGTGTGTAGGATGGAGGTCAGGTCCTGCGCCTTCATCCCAGGGGCCTGCCCGAGGCCCGTGTCACAGGCAGCCACCTCTGGAGACAGCGGCTAGTCCAGTACAGGTGGTCTCGGTGGCCCCAGGCCTGGGAAGTGACCGGCTGCCGGGACAGGAGGTGACACCATGTCGCTTTCTGCCCCCAGATCACCAGAAGCTGGAGAGAGAGGCTCGAATCTGCCGCCTTCTGAAGCACTCCAACATCGGTGAGCACCGTGGGCGGGGCCCCTCCCTC